CGGGGTCTACCATATCTCATCAGCACCATTCTGGGGGCACTTAAACAAACCATTATATATAATCCTAGGAGGAGACCTAGGAGGGATTCAAATAATGGAGTTATCAGGAGCAGCCTTTAAAAGGCCCATGCAGGGATGAGAAGATGACTCAGTTGGTAAAAATGCTTGCTGCACAGCATGAGGAACTGAGTTCAGATGCCCACTATCCATGTTAAAACTGGGCGTCACCTTGTGAGCTTGTAATAGCAGCACCGGATAGGTGAAGGCAGGAAGGTCTCTGGAGCTCATTTGTATACCTGAATCTGTTCAGTGAGAGACCATGCCTCAAAAACACTAAAGTGAAGAGTGATGGAGGACACCCAACATCCACCTCTGCCCTACACATGCACGCACACGCACACAAATACATAGGCCCAGGTATAATGTTCCAAATATTTGGAAGACAAGATTAAAATTTTTGATAGAGAGCTACAAACTCTACAAAAAGAAAAAGGGAATCAGGTGGAAGTTCTAGAACTCAAAGATATCATCAATTGAAATTGGGAAATTGTCAAGAGTTATCAGAGACTTCCTGTGTGGTCAGTGCTGTTTAAAACATTACATGATTCAACGTAAGACAAGTGTGGAGGTGGTCTGTCATTGCAACCTGATGCAAAGGCTTCTTAAGGCCCCTGGCCCATGTGGGAGAACACTTTTGTTTATACCCCACTGTGTCCTTAAAGTGGCCTGTTACTGCCTATTGCCACTCCCCACATGTCAGTAGCTTGGATTTTCGATTTCCTTGCCTCAATAGAGCCCTTTGAAGAAGCTCTTGTCACCCATGTCTAGAAGCACAAGGATCAGCACATTGAAGGCTAGAGTCGGAGGTCAGAGGAAAGTCACTGGGTTCTGTGTGTGTTGCCATCCTTAAGCTTGTTCAGGAATTAGAGTGTGGGCTGAGTTCCCAGAACTGAGAACCAGGCTAGGCAGAGATAGATGGTGAGCAGAATTGCCATGAACACCAGCAATAACACCATAAGAAAAAATTGAGTGGAATTGAGGCCAGGAGGTGAGGAAAGAAAAGGGACCTTTTCCTTCCTCTTCTTCCCCATCTAGTGGGGAGATGTGCTTAGGATCACCACGGGAAATCCAGGAACTTCAGCACGGAAGGAACGGAGCGTGGCTCAGGAACAGGGAGCGGAGGGCCTGCACATGCTTGCCCATGTGGGACAGAGTTGCAGGGATGGTAGGTGCTGTGACTCATCTCTTCCATTTTACCTGAGGTAGAGAAATGTGTGCAATCACTGCTGTTTGAGTAATCCCCACAAGCCAGGGGCAGGGTCAAGTACATCACGTGAGAGTCTTATTTAATTCTCATAGCGATCCATGATGCGGCTTCCGTTATTAAAATTAGTTAATGGATAATGAAACTGAGATCTAGAGAGTCCTTGTACCTTGTCCGAGGTAGCACAGCTCAGAAGGATGTGAGAGGATTGAGACTCGGGGTCCACCCACAGACTCCTTCCCTGCACACTTGCAAAGGATGTGCTGCAGGCCTTCGGTGGAGATGGGGTGGTCCAGGGAAGAAGGCACAGATCACAGAGGTCTGGGAGCCTAATGTTGCAGACCTCTAGACATAATCTATTTCTGTTTGAATTTAGGCTGAGGGCAGAGAAACATTTACCCAGCAGCTGTGATGTGAGTGGGATTTTGCTTGGACCACTGTCTGAGGGCAAAGGCTTGTACGGGGCTCCTCCATTCACCTTGGCAAATCACTTCTCTTTCTCAGTTTTCAAGGATGTTTAAAATAATACTGATTTGACAATTTAACAAAGCTTCACCAGTTTGCTAAAGACTGGCTCTTTTGGACATTTTTTTTTCATTAAGAAGTCCCCAATTTTTCATTGGTTGCTATATTAGTATCTGCCAAAAGCAAAAAAAAAAAAAAAAGAAAAGAAAAAAGAAAAAAAAGATCTGTAAAAGCCTCAAAATGAAATGAAAAAAGAACATATTATAGAAAATTGCATCGCAAGAAACTGACAAGACATTTATAGCTTAATGACATTCTTGTATAGTATTAATGACATTCTTGTATAGTACACATAGAAACCACAGCATTTGTAAATAGAGTCATTTACAGGACAGTGGTGTTCAAACATTTGTGTCTCACTTCAAGCACATAACATTTTGGGAACTGTTACTTTTTTTGTTAAATTGTGTCTCTTGTGTTATTTTTGTTTTCCTATGAATGCATAGTTAATAAAAAGTCGAATACATGTAAGGCATAAGCTCAATATCTTGATCTATATTACAAAATCGTCACCAGAGTCTGGCTAATTAACGTATTTACCTCCTGCCCTGGTTACCATTTTCTTTCTCCTTTCTCCTCCCTTTCTCTTCCCTCCCTCTCTCCTGTCCCTCTTATTTTCCTTCTCCTCTCCTTTCCTTTTAAAGGGAAGAAGGAGTGAGGCTGCTTAGCAACCACTCTCAGCAAGTTTCCACCTGTAGCCAGTACCACTGTTATTATCGTGTGGCCCCCAGATATCCAGAACTCAGTCATCTCATCGGCTTGGCAGATGTTAGAGTTCTGAGGCAGGCGTAGAGACAGACGGGACAGAGGCGCCTGACCTTCCACCGATGCTACTGTGTTTATTAGCACAGGGGCAGCCTCTCTCCCTCAGGAACTGAGGGGTCTACCAGGAGGAAAAGGAGCTGCCACTGTGTACAGGAATGGGGTGAGGAGCTTGGGAATGAGGAAATAGTTCCAGCTATAGTGGTCTACGTGTCACTATGGCAGTCACTCCTTCCTGAAACTGTTTGCCCAAGGCCAGGCAGACTATCCTCCCATGACTGTAGAACAAAGCCATCTCTACTCTCTTAGGAATCCTGCTTTGCAACTGAGGCACTCGATCAGCAGATTTCTTCTTTTTTTTTTTTAAGACTGGTTTTCTCTGTGTAGTTTTGGTGCCTGTCCTGGATCTCGCTCTGTAGACCAGGCTGGCCTCAAACTCACAGAGATCCTCCTGCCTCTGCCTCCAGAGTGCTGGGATTAAAGGCGTGTGCCACCACCGCCCGGCACTATCAGCGTATTTCACCCCTATGCATTCCCTGCCATCCATCTCCTGCTTCTGTCAACCATCAACCTATTGCCTGCTTCTGAGTTTTAATGTGAATTTTATTAATATTCAAGATGTAGCATTTGTACAAATAAATAATAAAAGGGTCTGGGGCAGCTTCAGAAGTAACATAAGACAAGCATGAGGGGCGTATGGTAATTGGGTACCAGCTACTTTCAGCAGGTGTGATGACAATGTTATGCACCTGGTGACTAATAAACTTTCCAGAAACTTCAAGGCTTAATTAATTCAGCAATTTCTGAAAGTTGTAAATAATTAGACAAGTTCTTACCCACCCCCCTCCTTCAACCAGCTTCACGGAAGATTTTCAAAATGAACAAAGAAATGAGCAAACAGAACATCCCTTTGGCCCTCATGGGTAGATAGTATCTCTCTACAAGAACTCAAGAAGGATGTGTACTTGCCATTTTGACTCTCAAAACTATCATCCAGGGTTATAGTAGCAGAAATGTTCTATTTGTTGGAAAAGAAGAGCTCTTTAAAGACTTGATGTATGTTCTGTAGCCTCTCCATGAAAGGATTTAGCTCTCCCTTTGGACACACTCTGCTTTCTTAGGTTGAAAATAAGGTCAAATGCTACCAAGCATTGATAGCACACACCTTTAATCCCAGCACTCTGGAGACAGAGGCACATGGATCTCTGAGTTCCAGATGTTTATCCGAGACCAGCCTGGTCTAGGATAGCCAGGGCTACCCAGAGAAACCCTGTCTCAAAAAGCCAAAAAAAAAAAAAAAGAAAGAAAGAAAGAAAGAAAGAAAGAAAGAAAGAAAGAAAGAAAGAAAGAAAGAAAGAAAGGAAGAAAGAAAGAAAGAAAGAAAAGAAGGTCAAATGCATCAAGATCAATGGGTGAGGTAGGATGACCTGGTCTCAAGAACTGGGTTTTTGGTATCTTGCCATTAACAAGCTCTATGACCCTTCCCTCTACTAATCTGAGTCTCTTTGTGGGAGGCTGAGATAAGGCGAACACTATGCTCCAGTCCAGTTCTGAAGATGCTATAGCTGCATTCCTGCAATAGCAGCCTCCCTCAGGGAACACACAGGGACTCGCTTCACCTTTCATAACATAAAATAGGAAGGTCCTCACCTTTCCCCAGCTGTCTAGAAAATTGCATGAAAGGAAGTTAATGTTTATTAACGTCCACTTGGGACCAAGACTTAACTTCCTTCTTTCTTTCTACCTTCAAGGAAGATGCAGTCCTCCTCATTCTGAGAATGAAGAGGCAGAGATATAAATAAGTGAAGTGACTTTTTCAGGGTCACATGGACAGCAGTGACAAGTGGCAGAGAAGGAGTCTGGACCTCTTGCTGTCCATATGCTTCATCTACTTTTCCAAGACTTGGGAATGAAATCACCTCTGAAAGGCTCCAAGTTTCCAGATGTGGGATTGGGGAAAATGGCTGCACCCCTTGGGAGGGACTCATTTCTCTAGAGCAGGGGTCAGCTCTAGAGAACATACAGAACAGCCATGGTCTGTAAATACAGTATGTTAGAGCAGACTTGAGTTTTACGGCTTACAAATTACTTGTGGGTGCCTCTGCACCATGGCAGCTGAGCTGAGTATTGTGTTGAGCCTGGATGGTCCACAAAACACCAAATATTTACCATCTGGTTCTGGACATAATGTTTATGCAGAGTCTGGCCAACTGTCCCTTCTCCAAAGAACACAGTCACAATGACGTGAGACTGCCCTTTGTCCACCAGACCCTATCACTTGCCTTCCGATGAAAAGGTGACATTTCTGCTCGCATCTGTTTTGTGGGAGGGAAAAATCAGCCAGCAGGCTCAGAATACCTGTCATGCAAATGAGAGAATCTGGTTTTCATCTCGTTCTCCTTCCCAGGAACACCATGTAGGGGAAATAGAGAGCTCAATTTTGGGGAAATTGCAAGGGTAAAGGGGGAGGAGATCAGTTACAACACACTATTGCGACACCCAGCAGGGTTGAAAGTGACAACAGCGAGGGTTTCTCTTTTTGGAAATATGAGGGTTTTTCCGCTTCTGACAGTGGGACGGAACGACAGCAGCGCGGGCCGGTGAATGACTACTTTCTTTATAAGCAACCACCCTGAGCCTGAAATGGCAGTCTCTAGTCTTCGCTGCCTTGCTGCGGCCTCAGGATGGAAATCTGCAGGAGACGGTACAGTCACCTAATCTCTCTCCTTCTCTTCCTTCTGTTCCATTCAGAGGCAGCCTGCCGCCCTTCTGGGAGAAGACCCTGCAAGATGCAAGCCTTCAGGTAAGTCCTCCGAAGACATGGGGTTGCATAGGGACATATGCCATCTGTCCAGGACACTGGATCTGAGGGATGGGATGGAAAAGGATATATATCCTTGATTCAAGAATAGCTTGCTACACGATTAGTCTCTAAGGCTTATGTTTTGAAAAATGTTCCATGCATGGACAACAGGGCAGTCAACTGTGCTCATTCTCCCAGACACTGAGGTGTTCAGTGACAGAACAGAAGGCCCCCAGGAATGATGCTAGCTTTGGGATCTAGCAAAGAGGAATGCTGCAGCAAGACTCAAGGCTCAGACCGACAGGCTATACCCTTTGTCTGTGTTGACTTGGAAAATAACTCTCTTCAGAGTCCCCAGTTTCCTTATCTGTGACATGATACAGGTTTAATAATAATCCCTTCTGTGCCTTACAGGGCACATTAAATACATGCGTGATACTGTAACCATGTTCTGAGACATGTGCTCTGAGAACTGTACAGTGTCCAAAAAAGTGACTTGAGTTTTAAAATTGGATAAAGAGCCTTGGGAGATATCATCAACCTTATAGTAAAAACAGCAGGCCTTTATTTTAATTTAAAAAATAAATAAATAAAGAGATTGTTGGTGCATACAATCTGTCCTTGATCCTTCCTGAGAATGAAGTCTGTATTGAGTCACTTCCCCTTTACCCTGTCTGCTTTGGAACCACAGCTGGAGGCTGAGTCTGGCTGGGAGTGTGTGCATCCATCCCAAGGCAAGTCTGTCCTACAGATCCAGGAATGGTCTGCTTCATGAGGTTCCCCCCTCCACCCCCTTAGCAGCCCCTCGGAGGGCCCCCAGAACCCTTTTAGCAAGGCTGTTGAAGCTCATGGGAGGAGCAAAGACCCAAATACTCCTCCCCATGAAGGGGATTTGGTTTGTCATCCGCCCTGCCCTGAGCTCCTGGGCTGCCCCAAGCTCCCCAAGGAGTCCTGTCAGCTCCCCTGACAGGTAAAGAAATAACGCACAGATTCAAGGTCATATCACCAGGGCACTATTATCACATCTCACAGCTGCCTGTCTCACAGCTGGGGAGCCCTTCACCAAGAAGACAGGGAGCGACCAGCAGGCCACTGGGTGAACTAGAGAGGAAGCTAACTTGTTCCCTGGAACAGCTGTCCCTGCTAGAGTCAGAGCAGGTTATTGGCATGACAAGTAAAAGTTCTAGTTACAGACTTCCAGGCCTGAGACTCAGAGTAGCTTGGCTGCAATGTAGTCTAACCCCTGAACTCGGAATACTATGATGTAGCCACCAGTTTCATGTGGCCATTTAAATTTACACATAAATGCATGAAAACAGAAGAAAGTCATGTAGCTGGCAGCTCCCCCATTGAGTAGGGTGAATATAGGATGTGTTTGCATTGCCTGAGATTCTATCAGATGGTGATACTCTATAGAAAATTCTGCTGAAGCAGCAGGTGTCTGTGCTGGGATTCTGGGGTGAGGAGCAAGAAGAAGAAGAGGTTTTCTGTTCACCAGCTGTGAGAGATGGACCCATCTCTTATGCAGTATTGGCTTGAAATCTTCTCATCTGTACTATGAACTCACTGAGGACCATACTTCCAGCAGGTCTAGATGTAAATTAGATGACACAGTGCTGTACTGCCTATGACAGCTAGGCCGATTTGCTTTTCAGAATCTGGGATATTAACCAGAAGACCTTCTATCTGAGGAACAACCAACTCATTGCCGGCTACTTACAAGGACCAAATACCAGATTAGAAGGTGAGTGGATAACAGGGAAGCTAGTGTAATGTGGGCGTGGAGTGACTTTGCCCTGCTCCTCGGGCTGTAGGTGGGACATCCTCATTTCTGTTGAGCTTGAAATGAGAGACATGACCACCAGAGGGCATGTATGGGAGTGGCCTCAAGAGTGAAAAAATGTAGAGCCTGAGTCCCAATGCACTGGGGACACAGCTGGGGGAACAGCGGCCAGGAGTCACAGCTGACTTCCTTAGTCCTGTGCTGGTAGACCATCCGTGTTCCTGTTATTCAAACCCTAGCCTCACCCTAGGCTAATACACCGTGTACATGGCTGAAGAATATGTTTTATTGTGGATACCACCTTCAGCACGCACCCGTCTATACTTGGGACAAAACTAGTTGAGCTTGGAGGAGCATCACTCACAGATTCTTCCGGATTTTTTCTTTTAGAAAAATGAGGGCAGTGAGCTGACAGAATTTGATTTCGCTTTAGCACTGGAGTTTAAAGTTCCCGCCTCTCTGAGATAGAGAGGCATTACCCATATCTCCTCGGTATTCCCCAAGCCTGTTCTCTGCTTTCCTATCTTACTCAGCAGTTATAAGACTGGTTTTTCCTGTCTATCTAGTAACCTAGTAATTCTTCCACGAACATGCTCACGTAGAGAGAGGCTGGGTTTTCTACTGCTACCCAGTAGCGGGTGGGAAAGGTGGACTGCAAGTCCACAGGCTTCCGGGAGCCTGCTCACCAGCCTTGTGAGCCTTGTGTCCCTGTCTATTAACAGCATGTCTGTTGATCAGGAGGACAGGTTTCCTGGAGCCTGCTCACCAGCCTTGTGAGCCTTGTGTCCCTGTCTATTAACAGCATGTCTGTTGATCAGGAGGACAAGTTTCCTGGAGCCTGCTCACCAGCCTTGTGAGCCTTGTGTCCCTGTCTATTAACAGCATGTCTGTTGATCAGGAGGACAAGTTTCCTGGAGAAAGTAAAGGAAGGTTGGGACAGTATGGACAGAATCTAGGAGGCTGGTCCTTAGGGATAACTAGGTAGTGTTTGGTTGGATCTCTTGTATGGATGCAGACTAGAAAGATAGAGCCTTCCTGACCTTCTGACCTTAAAATTGTAGTTAAGAGGAGACAAGGAAATACCCACAAGCTCTTCCTCACCCCTGCCTCCTCTTCTCTCTTTCTAACTCCACCCTCTGCTCTTCTCCAGAAAAGATAGACATGGTGACTACTGACCTTCACAATGTATTCTTGGGGATCCACGGGGGCAAGATATGCCTGTCTTGTGTCAAGTCTGGAGATGAAATCAAGCTCCAGCTAGAGGTAAGAATCTGGGTTAGCTGTCAAACCATTATAAAACTCAATGGCTTATGACACCCACAGGCAGTTCCCGTGACCCTGTGGGTGTGCATGGATGAGGGAGGTGGTTGGTTCCTCAGAGAGTAAGGGAGTCACTTATCACCCCCAGAGATATTTGGGGGTCACTCCTGAAGTGATTTCCACAATGTTCTCGGTTGTTGTTGGGTGTCCAAGGTGCTTTCTCATCCTCTAAACCATCCTTTCTGTTACTTAGCATTCAGTAGATACCCTGAGCTTCCTCGTAGCATGGAAGCCAGCCTGAAAAAGAGAGGATTCCTGAAAGATGGGCTTCAATGTGAAAGTGCTACTTAAACTTGGACTTGCACGAGTCTATTGGCAAAAGCCTGTGACATGGTTGATATGGACTCATTGTAAAAGGCACAACTCAAGGATATAAACTCTAGGAGTAGACATTTTTCATGGAGGACCACCTCTATGATACTATCACAGCATCTGAACCACCCATGGGTTTTGTGCTGGGCCTCCTAACCCACTTGGACCTACCTTCTTCTAGCAAGATCCACACTCAAGACCATGTGCTTCCAATCATTATCTATGCTCCTAGCGGGCATCCCACACAGAACTGTGTCACTTCTTGACCTACCTAATAGTAATAGGCTGTTCAAACATTATCTCGAGGGCTAGCTGGACAAACTTTTAACCTAACTGCAAGGAGCCACAACCTTGAGTTTGTCACTAACCCTCATCAATGGACAGGACCACCTTTTGGGGGTTTGGGGTTTAGAGGAGTGACTATCCTAAATATAATAAGGATGGCCAGGGTATCCCATATAACACATCCTATGGGCTTTGAGACCCTCTACCCCTTCTTTACAGCCCTCTTGCCTTGAAAGAATCAGAGCCTAAGGGATCACTGCCTCTCTGGCCTTAGTCCCTGTTGATGGGGCCACGTATTTGCTAGACTTACTTTACCATGGCCACAGCAGCATGATTTTCAATACAAGAGATGACAAGACAATTTCCTCTATGTGTGTGATCTTAAGAAATCTGGAGCCTGTGTTCTTTGGCCAGGTCTCTAAGGACCATTTGTCTGTCATCAGAGGGTGACAGCCTGATGAAAGGTATAGAGATAGACAACCAGGACTTTCTGGGCCCCCAGAAATCACAGGATTATTTCTTGCCTTCCAGAACATTAACATCACCGATCTGAGCAAGACCAAGGAAGAAGACAAACGCTTCACCTTCATCCGCTCAGAGAAAGGTCCCACCACCAGCTTTGAGTCAGCCGCCTGTCCAGGCTGGTTCCTCTGCACAGCACTAGAGGCTGACCGGCCCGTCAGCCTCACCAACAGACCCGAAGAGCCCCTCACAGTCACAAAATTCTACTTCCAGGAGGACCAATAGTACTGCCCAGATCTATCCTTCCCCACTCCCAGGCCATCAGTGACTCCACCAACTGCCTCCTCACTCTGGCCATCGTTAGAGTCTGAAGATCAATCTTTCCCGGATATACAGTAGAAGGAGGGAGAAGAACCCTCATGACAGATTTCTGCCTTCAGCCTCTTGGCTGACCCAATCCCCATGATGCTTCCAGAATGATCTTTCAAACTGGATCATGGCAGGCCCTTGCTCAAACCCTTTCTCGTTGCCTCTGCCCTCTGGGTGAATCCTAGACCACTTGCTTGCCTGGGCGCCTCTGCTTCCCACACTCTCCTTTTCTTCCATTGTCCAACATATCCACGGCCCAGATCAATCGAGCCACTTGGCAACACACCTCAAGTGGCTCCCTTACCTTGTTTTATAAACCTGTACTTGTCTGTGAAGAAGCTTTTTATTCATTTTGGTTTTGGGTGCTTGGAATGAAACCCACCAGGGCCTCACGTATGCTAAGTACATACCCTACCACCGAACTATGCCTCTATCTCACGGGGAAGGTTTTAAGGATTTAGAAAACAGAAAATAAGGATCTCATAATTATTTTATTAGGCCAGCCTTATTCCATGTGGGGGACAGTTCTTGTGGAGGTGATGTCCTTTCTGAGAGGGGCTAGGGATTAGATGTTCTTACATTTGTGAAATGACCGTATGCACGGAGAAATAGATAGTAAGTTTTCCTCTTTTCCTTCTTTGTGTGGTGCCCTAAAGCAAAAATTTAAAATTCAGTAGACTATATTATCCCCATAATCCTTTTTTGTTTTCATTTTTTCTGATATTTCCAATAATCCGAATCCCTCTGTCCAAACCAAACACCACCTCCACTCCAGTCTTTCCACAGCTGCCTGCAGAAGTTCCCCGTTGTCGCTGTGCAAATGTATCTCAGGCCCTTCCTGCTGTGGTGAATGAATCCACTGATTGTTTCTTAACCATTTTAGCACTTCCAACCTTGAAATTTGTGTGGAAGTAGCTATGACCCTGTCTGTTTCATCTACCAGACTGTGAGCTCCGAAGATCAGGGAGCATCGTGTGTGTGTGTGTGTGTGTGTGTGTGTGTGTGTGTGTGTGTGTGTTGGGTCCCTACAGAGCTGAGCACCGCTTTGGCTCTTGGCGGACACTCAGTAAATATGTGTTATACACACTGGGTAGAAAGTTTCTTACTCCTCTTTGTGACTTTAGCTGTATTTTACAATAAAACACTGAAAATGTCTACTTTGTTGGTTGTGACCATGTGGTGCTGGGGAAATGGGGAGGCCAGGGGATCTTTTTAATTCTATGGCTACAGAACAGTTGTCGCCTCTCTGAAAGCCTTCTTCCTCATTGATTCTCACTTCCTGGGTAACGGGGTGCCAAACACCCTTGACTATAATAAGCTATAGACTGTTGTTGTCCACCATGAACCCCCAAGTGACCAAATGAAAACAACCCAAATGCCTGTCATGGATGAATAAAGATGCAAGTATCAGATCGGCACCCAACTCCATACTCCACAATGGCAAAGGTGACGAGTGAATCACAGCCAGCTTCACCAGACATAATAGATGGATCTTAATAGACATTGGCTCCAAAGTCACTAAAGCTCAAATACTCCCAGGTCAAATAGCAGCTAACAAGTTAATAATCAACAAAGAGGGAACCAAACACTCCACTGAGTCTTGTGAACCTGTGGTCATGTTTTAATCTCCTGTTTACCATGTGTGCTCAGGGCGAGCTAGTTAAAACTCTCGGGGGCTCAGTTTTCCCATCTCTCTGTGCAAATAAAAGCCTTTGCAATGCCCTTCTCTGATGAGTAGTAATACAGTTGCTTTATCAGTCCTGGAGGAGTCGGTGCTCAAGGACTCTACGTCAAAGCTTCCTTGCTTCAAGTATGACCCACGGTTAGCAGCAGCATCACTTGGTGACAAAAATGTAGGCTCCTGGGTTTCACACCAGACTTCCTAGCTTAGGAGCTCACCTTAACCAGACCCTCAAGTAAACCACACAGGCTAAAGTTTGAAAGGCACTGCTTTCGACTGGTGTGGTGGTGCAGGCCTTTAATACCAGCACTCAAGGGCAGAGGCAGGCAGATCTCTGAGTTCAAGGCCAGCCTAGTCTGCAGAGCAAGTTCCAGGACAGTCAGAGCTACATAGAGAAACATTTTCTTGGGGGGAAAAAAAGGGAAAGGAAGGAAGGAAGGAAGGAAGGAAGGAAGGAAGGAAGGAAGGAAGGAAGACAGGAGAAGGGAGGGGGAGGGGAGGGGAGGGGAGGGGAGAGGAGTACTGCTTTCCCAAACTGCGGCCATGCGGCCATGCCGTGTTTAAGCTCTAGCACACTTACCAACATGGTTAGCGTCATTATAAATTCAGCCTTCTCCTTTCTCCCCAGCCCTCTAGCTCATGACCATACCAAAACCTCCCCCTCTTACTGCCTTAGTTAGACCTCAGGTGTTCCTTAAATTCTGAAGGGAAAGCTTTAGGCCAACACCATCTGCAGAAATGCCAGCCCAACACATCCAAGGATTTCTGTCTCGTAGGTATATATGTGAGTATCTCATGAATAGTAGCTATTTGAAATTAGCCACTCCACACATCAACAGGAATTCATGGATTAGGTCATCCAACAAATCTGCATAGACTGGGTTCAGACCAGCCAAGTTTTGAAGGAGCTCATAAACCCGGGAAAAGTGGAGAGCTGAGCAAGGAAAACACGACCACCAGGTGGCGGTAGCACTCATGAGCTTTAACGAGCTAGGCTCTTTCAGATTTCAGGGTGGTCCCTCACCACCAGGATTGGCCCAAACCTGATGGAGGTGAGATCCCACACAGAAGGGGAAGAGAGCAAAAGAACCCCCGGGGTAGATGGGAGTTGAAGAGGGGATTTCCATGCCTAGAGACCGTCTCTCAGAGACCCAGCAGGGAATCTCTGATTCAGACTCTGATTCAGAGGGAAACAACATTTTGCATAGGGTTTAATCCTTGCCATAAAGATATTGGGTTTCATGGGATCTGTATCTTGGTAGCAGATTTTTATTTTTTTTAGCATGGGCTTTTATTGGACAAACACCTGATTATCTGGCCTATATTTAAAACAACAGGTTGCGCAAACCTTTGAGCTTGTATTGACTGGGGTTTACAGCTCCTGGCTTGCTCTGAAGAGACCAGCCATGTAGGTGCCAGCACACAAAATCGGTCTTTGGTTCATTTCTACGACACAAAGAATGGGACACGGTTAGGGAGGCCAGGCTTGGGTGGCATAATCAAAGGAGGTCTCTTTTCACTTAGGAGACAGTAAAAAGTGAGGCTGGGTGAGAGTCGGGGAGGGGGCAGAAACGAACAGAGAGGGGACTCAGTAAGTGCGTCTGAGGAAAATGGGTGTTTGTTTGTTTGTTTTTTGTTTTTACCTCTAGGCCTGACCAACTATAACATCATAGAACCACAGAAAACCTGGCTCAGAAATCGAAAACCAGGTCAGATAGAGTGTTGCACCCCTGTAACCTCTGCATTCTGGCGGAGGATTGTGAGTTCAAGGCCGGGCTTGTTAAATAGACAACAATCCGAAAGCAACTTGGAGGCTTTCTAGCTTTCACAGTCTAGTCAGTGTCCCTACTTAACTGCGTGTGGCCTTGGTCAAGTGGCCCTGACTCCTGGACCTCTATTTCCTCATCCAGGAAGGGACTGGACTCCCTCTGTGCTATGAGGCTGACCTGAACAGTTTCTTATCAAAGGGTACAGTTCCTGGCTTCCGGCTCCGCGCGGAGATTCTGATTCACATGGTCTGGGGTGGCTTGAGGTGGAGCAAAAACATCAGTATGCCACAGTCGACACCCTCCAGGAGCCCTGAGGTCAGCTTACTCCAGTTGTTCCTGCCTGGCGTTATCTGTTGACACAAAGCTGGAGATGCCCTCTCCTTGAAGGAAAGGGCTCCTGACTAGATCAGCCACATTTCCACTGTGCTGTCATGTAGACTGAACATCAACGACAGAATGCTTGACTGGTATGTGTGAGATCATGGGTTCCACCCCCAGCACTGAGGGGGTAGGAATGGGACATTGCTGATTCTTCAAAAGCATGGGGTATACACCTGCAATATCACCACTTGAGTGGCTGAGGCAGGAGGATTGTGAGTTGGAGCCCACATGAATTGAAAACTGAGATTGCATTCAAGAAAGTGAGATTTGATGGCTTCCTGCTTTCTCAATCATAAGGTTGACTAAGAGGCTTGGCGTGGGGAGCACGGTTTAGAGTATACATTCGAGAAAACGGGACTGTCAATCATGCGGGCCTGTTTTCTTCAACAGAAGGGAATGATGGTGCCTGATTCCTGGAGTGCTGTGGTCAAACAACCTGGTGATCCTTTGCTCTTCTGTTAGGAGCCGATCCGTGCCTGACTCCACCCCAATATCCTGAGAATGGTTTAGGCTCTAACCCTGGGCTTTGCCACTCAGTAAATAGAACTCAATCCTATGAAAGAGGCTCCACCTACTTTGCATCCTCCACCAATAGAATCTATCCTTATGTTTATTACAGATCTCACCCACCCACCCCCAGGCCCCGCCCTGAGCTGTTTATCAGCCAATAGAACTCATCCTTATTGTAGACGTCACAAGTGCTTTGTTACCTTGCTAGGGAGTTTCAGTGTAGCTATGCCTAAAGCTTTGTTGTGAAAACTGTCACGTGGAAGCCTTTTTCAAATATTTTACTATGTTTAAATGTGTAAGAAGAATAAACCATGAGGTCAGACCCTGGAGACAGACCCAGGGCCTGCAAAAAGTTTCATTCTTCACCTGGTGTGGGTCGTCGGCCCCCTTCCTCCTCCCCAGCCGTGAGGCTTGCGGAGATACCCTACAGCTTGTAGCTTCACTTTTTTTTTTTTTTTTTTTTGGCATTTAATTAAACAATGTTAAATTGGTGTCGATTTTTGCAAATCTTGGGAAGACCAAATAATGTAATTTTGTGTATAAAAGCTCTAAACCACAGAAGCAAATGTTAAAGTGTTTCATTTCAAACCCAGTTATCTCAGAAAAGTATGGGAAGACAGTGAAATAGAATTGGGGTTCTTAGCTTAACGAAGTTCATTAGAGGAATCATGGGCTTTGGGTCTCCAGCACAAGGGGGCAAGAAAAGAAGTTCAGCAAATTTCCACCAGAGGGCAGCCTTTCAAAAAAGAATCCTGGGTAGACGCCTTCAATTAGTTCTGGGCGAAGTCTGGTTTTTCAGGCTCCCTAAGGAAAATCTGCTTCCCCACCCCACTTCTAGGTTTATTTTTATTCACCAATCAAGCCAAGTCAATTTAAGGTACTGATAAAGTGCACAACCCCAACATCTCGCCACCCGTCAAGATAGAGTCCTCGGGATTGCCTTATTCTGTGGTTCTGTCTTCCTCCTTGGGACCATTCCTCATGGTTATCTAGCTCTCAACCCCTAACGCTACTGTTGAAGCCGGCATCTCTCCCCCTCCAGCTCCAAGGATCAACTGGACCTCGGGGCATCTTTGGCCTTACAAACAGAGGACTGTGTGTGTTCCAGGAAAACAGGGTTTAAAAATTACAGTTCTAGCAGGGTGTGGCTTGCAGCTGTAATCCATCTCAGCATCCTAAAAAAAAAAAACGATTCGAAAGCCCCATCCGCATCAGTGGGTTATATTTATAGCCGGCTAGAAGGAAACGGCATACAGAAAACGGAAGTGGTGCACACAGACCACCGAGCGGTTCTCTCTGGCATCTGTGTTGTTTGAACACAGGTTTGAACAATTGGACAGCCTCCTCCCCCTTTGATTGGTTGACACCCTTACAACAGTGAGTCCATTTGCAGTCAAGTTAGGCTGTGGTTTGCCGCGCATAGAGAAATCTTTAGACCAGATTTAGGAAATGCAGAAGCAGCGTTATGCTATACAGTTCAATTTAACATGAAGTGGTGTCTCACTGCTGACTTGAACTAGTATATTAAGTATTCCACTGGGTTCCTCTTAGCCACTCATCTTTGATCGTGGTGACTATTTCAATCTTGTCATCAACATTTTTTAATTCAATTGTTTGTTTGTTTGTTTGTTTGTTTGTTTGTTTGTTTGAGAGAAGGAGTGTGTCCCACTACTGGACTCCACCTTGAGACCTTCTTGTCAGCCTCCCAGTCTCTGGGGTCGCACGTGTGTACTACCACCAATGTTTTTTTGTGATTTTGTTGTTTTTTTGCTGTTATTTTAAACCGAGTGGTTTATTATTATTATTATTATTAT